AAGACGAAGTTACTAATGCCATACAGAGGCTGCGCAATAATAAGGCATCCGGAGAGGACCGTATTCCCGCTAAAATCTGTAAGTTCTGTGTTGACGCCCTAGCTCCATGGAGTGATCGAGCAAGTGTGGGGAGATTAAGTGGTTCTGAATAATTGGGATTCGGGTATCCTCATGCCTGTTTTCAAAAGGGGAGACAAGACGAAGTGCGAGAACTATCGCAGCGTAAGCCCCATCGACCTTGGTGTGAAAGTCTTCACTACTGTCCTTTTCAGAAGATTCCAGACTGTACGAGACCCTAGGACGATGCCCAATCAAGCTGGATTCCGAGCTGGGCGTGCCTGTATGGACCAGATATTCACACTGAGACATATTCTGAAATTCTGCCATGGAGTACCGACGAAGATCATTGCCATGATATAGGCCTTCTATCGCTCCATCACCGCGCGAGTTCTGGTCCACAACAGTATCTCCCAACCATTCGATATCCGGTCTGGTTTTCGCCTAAGCTGTTTCCTGTCGCCCCTTCTGTTTAATTACGTCATTGAGTGGATTCTCGAGATGGCCCTACGTGAAGGGTACGTTGTCAAGTTTGCATCCGGACGTCGGCTGACTGATCTCGACTACGCCGAGAATATCGCCTTACTAGCTTCAAGCTTTGGTGATCTACAGTCTGTGGTGTTAAGGGGGAATGAGATTTCTATGTCGGTTGACCTGTCCACACATAGCGATAACAGCAAATTATTCTCGAATTGCATCCCTCACGAGGAATAGACATACCTGGGGATTAATGGCTGTTAACTTGAAAAAGCAGAGGGCTTTAAAAACCTCGGGGCGAGGCTGCTACCAAATTAACATAGTAAGGACGATAGTGTCTCCCGAATCGATGCTGTTCGCAGGGTTTTCTAAATCCTTCGAAAGCGCCTATGGATCCGAGGCGACGTCTTCATGGCCACGAAGATCCGTGTGTACCATGCATCCGTCCAGTCAGCTCTCCTCTATGTGTGTGAATGCTGGGCTTTGTGCGTGAAAGATGAGCGAAGACTGGAAGTATTTGACCACCGCGGCCTAAGGACCATCCTTTGAGTGAAGTATATCAACTTCATCTCAAATGACACAATCGGCACTCGCTAGAACAGTATCGCGAGGATATCGCAAGTCATCAAAGAAAGATGACTGGGGCGGTT